TATATATATTTCCATAAATATTCTGTATCAGGAGAGAAAGTCCCGAGTTCGAACTATGAGCATAAGGAAACGGGTAAGGGCGGCTGGTCCGCTAAACACAGGAACAGGAAATAGAAAAACTCAACACATGCCTGTTTCTTCACTGAGTCTCTAAGGAACTAAGGATCTTTTCATCTTTTTTCTTTTCCCGTGTTGCCAAAAGACAAATTAAAAAACAACAAAACTATAAAAACGTGACACAAAATATCTACAGAGTGAACACTGACATTTACAACTATTAAATAATCCCCATTCAAAACAACATGGATTTTCTACACAAAACAACAACAAAAGACAAATCTGACAGGTTCCACATGAAGAAGGACCTTTGTGTAACGTGCTGGAACAGGCAGGTGAAGAGTCTTTGACAGTGATTTGATTCTGCCGGTTAGAGACAGGCCTTTGTCTCTGTTTTCTGATGTTTTACAGACATTCTGTGTGGCAGACTACACATCTGTCTGGTTTCCTGTTTGTCAAAAGCCACAAATGGTTAATTTCAGTTTCTTCAAACCAACATCAGGATCCCACTTCATGCAGGAGCCGTCAGCGCTAGACACCAAACACCCAGACAACACGGTTTATTGCCTTCTTCTCTGGATGTAGTCTGAGTTCAGCAGTCACAACAACACTCGTGCCACAGGAACACGACAGAGCGGGATGTCAGTAGTGTCGAGGAAACACGTTCCTCTGCACAAACTCTCCAGTGGCACGGGATGATTTTGCTCCCATTAACGAGAAACTGCTTTACTGCTGAGGTTGGTTTGTGTTCTGTGAGATGCAGTAAAACATTCTCTGATAACTTCAAAGTTCTTGTTGCAGCTGTAAGTGTGCAGCCCTGCAGCGCCACCTGTCAGGACCAACAAGTGCTGCAACAACAAGCGTTAGTCTTTCAACATGATGTAAAACCAACGTTTGGGACTTCACTACCCACATAAAGTCACCGACACTGAACATTTTCACTGTTAAACATTAAAACACAGCAGTGAGCGCGGCTGTGTCTGACTTTCATTTTAGAATTTTGGTCTTGTATAACAGGGCATTAGCTTCTTAAGATTTTATTTCATGTTTAAACCCCAAAACCTGCAAGAGGAGGCGTTTAGTGACAGTAACTGGTGGGATTTTTGTACAAACTGGAGATGCCACAGGGTTTGGACGTTCCTCTCAGACAGTTTACCGTCAGACTAATCCCCCCTGTTGTCTCCCTCCCTTCCTCCCATCATCACCATGGCAACACCTCATCAAACTCCTTCTGACTGGCTGATTAGATATTCGGACGTCTGTTGGGGGGCAGGTAAACGATGCCTTGGAGACGATGACGAGGATGCTGAGGAAGACGAAGATGAGGAGGAGTGATGCTGGTGGCGTCCTCGGAGTGAGGTGTGGTTGCCGTGGTGATGGTGGTGGGGAGGTGAGGAAGGGGAAGGTGGAGGAGGGTCGCGGAGAGACGGTGGGACGGCGGAGAACTTGATGGGGACGATTCGAGTATCCATGACCTCGCAGTCGACCTGCATCATCATCTCGTAGCCCTGAGAGGAGTTATACAGACTCTCTGTGGTGGGGGGGGTTCACATACAAACAGCCATTAGAGCACTACACTGGTGGCAACTGGTGGTTGAATCAACACAAACCAAGATTTACTACAGCACTGTTGAAACCGACTGCTGAGCCAGGGGTTCCTAATAAACTGACAAATGAGTGCATATCACAACATGGCATGGAAACCTCTTGTGAGCAGAGTCCACTACCCGGACAAGTGGCTTCCAGAGGTGTTGACTAAAGTAGCGTCCAGTAGGGCTGGGTGTCACTGGGTGTCTGCACATTTAGACTCACAAACTGAGCTCTGTCGCCTGAGATCACTGCTCGG